GGGCCCCCGCTCCCTCCGAGCCCCCGCGGCCCGGCACCGGCGCGACCGGCAGCGCCTCCTCCGGTCCGGCCGCTGAGGGTAACTCGGCCCTGAGCCGCCCCGGCTCCCCCCCGGCCAGACGCGGCCCTCCGCCCCGGCTGCGGCCCGGTACTCACCCGTAACGGCCGCTCCGGCGGCCCAGGCTGAGCACACAGGGCTCCCGCCGCCCGGCCCGCACCTCCGTGCCCGCAACGCTCTGCGCCGTAGCTAAGGAAACGGCCGCCGCCGACTGCCCTCCTCCCCACCGGCCCCTCCCGCCCCTCCCCGGCCCCGGGCAGGTCCCGGTGGATACGAGGAGGCCGCAGGCCGCGGCGGGCGGCTCCATCGCGGCGCCTCGGTCTCCCGGCGACTTGGCGCCGAGGCCGCCGGCGCGGGGCAGAGCGGCACCAGCGCCCCCTGCCGGCCGGCGGAGCGACCCGCGCTCGGCGAGGGAGGGGTGTGCCCGGGGCGGGGCTGCACCGGCGGGGCGGGGATCTGGGGAACCGGGGGCGCACCCGGGAGGGTCCGCCGGGCTGTGGGCAGGGGCCCCCTCCCCGGGGTGAGGCGGTACCGGTCCCCTGGGGCCGGGCCCTTCTGCGTCCCCCCGCTGCCACCGGCAGCGTGGCCACGCCCTCTCCCGGCGCTGATTGGCTGCGGGCGGCTTTCATTTGCATGCGCGCGAGGCAGGACGGGAAGGGCCGTGGTTTGAAGCGCACGGCGGCAGCGCGGGAGCCATGGCGGGGCCGGGCGGGGAGGAAGAGGAGGAGCGGTACCGGCGGTGAGGGACGGGGACGGGGACGGGGACAGGGACAGGGACAGGGACGGGGACGGGACGGGGTGGGGTGGGGTGGCGTGGGCGGGCCCGAGGGAGGGCCGGGGCGGCGGGGGCACCGGGCGGTCTCGGTGCTGACGGTGATTCCCGCAGGCTGGTGAGCGACGCCAAGGCCGCGGCGGGCGATGGGGAGCTGGAGGAGGCCCTGCGGCTGTTCCGGCAGGCGGCCGCCATCCGCCCCAGCGAGAAGCTGCAGGGCCGCATCCAGCGGGTGGCGGAGGCGCTGGCGGCAGCGGCGGCGGAGGAGGATGAGGCGGAGGAGGAAGGCTTCGTGAACGTCTGCGGCAGCGGCCTGCTGCTCTACGGGGAGGTGCACGAGAAGCTCTTCCAGCACCAGCGCGAAGGCGTCGCCTTCCTCTACCGCCTGCACCGGGAGGGCAGGCCCGGCGGCATCCTGGCCGACGACATGGGCCTGGGCAAGACGGTGCAGGTCATCGCCTTCCTCTCAGGCATGTTCGACGGCGAGCTCCTGCGGCACGTCCTGCTGGTGGTGCCCACCACCCTGGTCAGCACCTGGCTGGCCGAATTCGCCCGCTGGACCCCCGGTGTGCGTGTCAAGGAGTTCTACGGCACCAGCAAGACGGAGCGCACCAGGAACCTGGAGAAGGTGCAGAGGAGGAACGGCGTCGTCATCACCACCTACCAGATGCTCATCAACAACTGGAAGCAGCTCGCCAGCAGCAACGAGCAGGAGTTCGTCTGGGACTACATCATTCTTGACGAAGCGCATAAAATCAAGAGCCCGTCTACCAAAACGACCAAGAGCGTACACGCCATTCCTGCAAAGCATCGCCTCCTCCTGACGGGCACCCCGGTGCAGAACAACCTGCGGGAGATGTGGTCCTTGTTCGACTTCGCCTGCCAGGGCACGCTCCTGGGAACGGCCAAAACTTTCAGAATGGAATATGAGAACCCTATTACTAGGGCAAGGGAGAAGGACGCAACTCTAGGCGAGAAAGCACTGGGGCTAAAGATATCTGAGAATCTAATGACAATCATAAAGCCCTACTTCCTCAGAAGAACCAAAGAGGATATCAAAAACAAACCTGGCAAACCAGATGCTCCCCTTCCTGAGGATCCAAGTGAGAATCGTGCTCCTGTCATGCCATCTCTTACCAGGAAAAATGACTTTGTTGTGTGGGTGTACTTGGCGCCAGTGCAGGAAGAAATCTACAGGAACTTTCTCTCCCTGGACCACGTGAAAGAGGTGCTGCTGACAACCCGGTCACCTCTGGCTGAGCTGACTGTCTTGAAGAAGCTGTGTGACCACCCCAGGATTCTGTCTGCAAGAGCCTGTGTCCAGCTGGGCCTGGAAGAACAGGAGTACTCTGAGGAGGACCGCGGGAGTGACGCAGATCCGCTTCCAGGCGCTAATAAAATAGATCATCTCTCTGATGAGACTCTAATTCAGGAGTCTGGGAAAATGACGTTCCTTATAGGACTTCTAGAAAGACTGAGAGAGGAGGGACACCAAACCCTGGTGTTCTCGCAGTCGAGGAAGATGCTGGATATCATCGAGCACGTCTTGTCCCGCAGACAGTTCAAGATCATGCGTATCGACGGGACGGTGACCCACCTGACGGAGCGGGAGAAGCGCGTTAACGCCTTCCAGAGCAACAAGCACTACTCTGTCTTCCTGCTCACTACCCAGGTTGGTGGCGTTGGTTTAACCCTAACAGCAGCCAGCCGAGTGGTGATCTTCGACCCCAGCTGGAATCCAGCCACAGACGCCCAGGCTGTAGACAGAGCTTATAGAATTGGGCAAAAAGAGAACGTAGTAATTTATAGACTGGTCACCTGCGGTACAGTGGAAGAGAAAATATACAGGCGACAAATATTTAAGGATTCGTTAATAAGACAGAGCACCGGTGACAAGAAGAACCCGTTTAGGTATTTCTCCAAACAGGAACTAAGAGAGCTTTTCACATTAGAAGACACTCGAACATCTGCAACGCAGCTCCAGCTGCAGTCTCTGCACGCCACCCAGAGAAAGACAGACCTGCAGCTGGACGAACACATCGCCTATCTGCACTCTCTGGAAATGTTTGGCATTTCTGATCATGACTTGATACATACGAGGGAGATGGCTCACGAGGAGCAGGTGGAGAGTGAAGAAGCCCATCGGTACATCCAGCAGAGGGTACAGAAAGCCCACGAGCTGGTTCAGTTGGAGTCTCAGCTCAGAGACCAGAGGATGGGGGGGATCAGAAACGCTTGTGAAGAGACGTTGCAAAGGCCACCTGAATGGGTTTCCCAGCCAAAGAAGTTGTCTCCAGGGCTGAACAACATGGCTCGCTTTGATTCGCCACCAGTAGCCGATAAAAGTGAAAATGACCAAGTTATTGATCTTACAGAGGACAGGGAGGCCCAGATTCTTAATGTCAGCTCCAAAATGACAAGTCTGACCATTGGTGACTTGGATGAAGAGAAATTGGAACAAAATGTGTCCTGTATGGATACAGAGCAGCTCAACACCAGCAATACAGTGAAACAGTCCAATACAGAAGAATCTAAGCAAAATCTTGAATCGAGCATTATACCATCCTCACCTGGACTTCATCCACCCCACAAAGAAAGCGAGAGTCTTGAACAGAAACAGTGCTCCCCTGTAAATTCAGACACTGGGACTGAGGCAGGGAATGGCCTCTCTAGGCATCATTGGCACTCCTTTAATGAGTCTGGTATGGCTGACAAGCCCAAAAGATTAAGAGATGCAGAAATGTCAGATCAGGTGCCTGACCCACGTACTGCCTTGGGAACAGAGAATGACATTCCTGAGCTATCATTGGCTGCTGCGGTGCCAAATTTATCAAATGTTACGCCAGAATTCCATGGTAGGCACCAGAAATCTCACGTGCTGGAAGCCAACTTTGAGGATACGTCTGTGCTTTCTCCCCAGGACCAAGTTGACTTCAATCTGGTCTTGGAAGAGTCTGAGGATGGATGTCAAGATGCCTCAAATAGGGAAAGATCACTGGAGCACCCAGAAAAGGAAGGCTTCCAACTAGAAGCAGAAAGCTTTTGTAAGTCTCCAACAAAAGCTTGGGTAAGTGAGCAGGGTGACTGTGGAGAACCCTGCCACGCAGCTGAAAAGCCTCTTCTCCTCCTGCAAGAGAGTGAAGCATCAGAGGAAAACAGCGGTGTCTTTGCTTCCAGTAGAAAGAAAAACCCAAGAAGAATAGTTTCAGACAGCGAGGATGAAGACCATTCTGTTATGATCATGGAGCAAAACCAGTCTGACAAAAGGTCCTCTCCCCTGACCAGCCCTCTGCAGCAGTTTCTGGAAGGAATGAGTACATCCACTCCGAAGGGTGAGAGAAGAGTAGCAATGACTGGTTTTTCTCCCCAGCTGACTAACAATGGTAAAGGGTCTACCGCTTCCAGGCGATCTCTGATCTACAAGGTGGTAGATGAGGTTGAGGATATTGGAGAAATCATGGGAACCACTGATGAAGAAGATGATGAAGACAGCGATGAGGAACAAGATGACCTTGTGGAAGAAGAAGCTGAGGAGTGTAGCGGGGAGTCTGCTGAGCCTGAAGAAGAACCTGCTGGAGAAACGCTTGATACAGCTGAAGAATCTTTCCACGTGGAGAGCATGGCCTCTGAGCAGTCTGAAGCAGATGAGACAGAGTCATCTCAGGAGGAGTCTGCTGGTGATGCTGAGCTTCAGTCAGGTGAGCAAGTAGACTGCTTCACCCAGGAAAGTGTCTCTGACAAAGAGGTAGCTCAGGGTTCCTCTCCTGCCGCGGGTGATTACAATTCCTTGGTGGACAGCGGGAAGAAACTTAAGGATGCTGGAAAGCTCCAGGAGGCATTGAACTGCTTCCTGCAAGCTCTTGACATAAAAAATGGAGATCCTGAAGTTATGCTTATGACCTTAAACTTGTACAGACAGCTAGCCCAGAAATAAGCTGTGTGTGCCTGTATTAAGTAGTGTCTTATTTTTCCTCATTCAATGTTTGTCTGAACTATGTCACTGTCACTTTTTGGACCAGCCTAGGGCTGACGGCTGCGATACACGCTGCTTCCAGGGGGACTGAGCAAACTCCACATCTCCTCCTGCGTGAGGAAACATCTGAGAATCTAATTCTCAGGTGCTGGGGAGGGGACCTCACCGTTGACTTGGTTCACAAAAATGAAAACAGTTGGTGTTCTGGTCTGATTTGTTAATAAAATAGTCTTCTTTATATCTAACCCCTTTCCAAGCTTACAGCCCTGGCGTCACCTTCCTGCTCATCGCACTCTGTCGCTGCCTCTCCCCTGAGAGGATGATGAGGGTGCAGTTCCAGGGCAGCTTCGTGCAGTCTGAGCTCAAGCTGCTGTAGTTCCTCCCGCCTTGCCTTGAAATGAGCTGCTGTGGCTGCTGAATGGCACCCACCATCAGGGCGAGCTGGCTGCGGGTGCAAGGGAGAGAACAGAACTACTGCAGCCTGGGGTTAGGCTGGTCTGAGAATGCATTTGCTGTGGAGGAGGGAAAAAAGCCAAAGGGCTGTAGCTCCTCCAAGCACTGGAGGCCAAACCACCTGCCTGGGGCTGGGTCCAACACCGACTGCGGCACTGCAGGAACCCCTCTGCCCCCATCCCTGCCAGGCTGGGGTTGCTGCACAGGGGTGTGCAGGTGGGGGGCTGCAGAAGGACTGGAACAGCAATTAGACCTTGATTGCTGCAAGGGGCTGCACACCTCAAAGCTTTTGCTATCACTGGAGGAGTCTCTACTCTGACCTTGTTGCCCACCCTCCCCCACCCCTTTATTTCCCTCAGAGCAGTTGTGGTGGGTTGACCCCGGCTGCACGCCTAATGCCCACCCAAGCTGCTCCATCACCCACCTCCTCAGCTGCACAGGGGAGAGAAAATACACCAAGAGGCTCCTGGGTCGAGGACAGGGAGGGATCACTCAGCAATTACAGTCCTGGGCAAAAATTAATTTATTGCCAATCAAGCCAGAGGATGATACTGAGAAATAAAAACTTAATCCTAAAACACCTTCCCCCCACCCCTACCTTCTTCACGTGTTCAACTTCACCCCTGATTTTCTCTGCCTTCTCCTCGCAGGCAGTGCAGGGGGACAGGGATGGGGTTGTGGTCAGTGCATCACACGTTGTCTCGGGCGTCCCACAGGATCAGGGCTGCAGGGAGTTTCTGCTCTGGTGCCTGGAGCACCTCCTCCCCCTCCTCCTTCACTGACCTTGGTGTCTGCAGAGCTGTTGCTCTCGGGTATTATCACTCCTCTCTCCTGCTACAGTTTCCGTTGCAGTTTTTTTATCCCCCCTCTTCTTAAAGATACTACTCCAGAGGCACTATCACTGTCATGGCTGGGCTTGGCCTTAGCCTTGGCCAGCGGTGGGACCCTCTTGGACCTGGCTGGCACTAGGTCTGTCAGACACAGGGGAAGGTTCTAGCAGCTTCTCACAGAACTCTCCCTCTCTATCCCCCCCCATTACCCAGATGTTGCCACACAACCCCATTCAGTAGCACAGTCCAAAGCCTGTTCTTGCCCAAAGGCAGCAGGAGGGGGAAATATTAGTTTTAAAGCTTTGAGCTGCTTTTCCTCTGGTGAGGAAGTGTCCTCCCACCCTCATCCCACGTGCAGCTGAGCTGGGGTACATTAACTATTTCTCTCTGGCACTGTCAGTGCAATGAAGCAGGTCTGCAGTTCAGAACCAAGGTTAAAATCAGAACTGCTGTTTAGCCCTGCTCTGCCTCGCCTCTCTGCCACCTCCCTGGGATCAACACGGCCTGGGTATGGTCACCACCATCACCATCTCCTGTACAGTCCTTCCTTGTGACCACATGGCAGTGAATTTTGGTGCTTCTCCATGCCACGTGCATGTTTGGTGCCTACCAAATTTGCCCTCTGTCTTGCAGCCTGACAGCAAGGGACACTGTCACACCTTGCTGTGCTTTGGGAGAGGAAACTGCTCTGCTGGATTTGAACTCTTTGTACTAGGGGACACGACAAACACAAAGAATGATCCTGCTGGAACAGGAGATGTGCCAATGTGCTAATAGGTAGAACAAAGCTCTGGTAGCCTGGAAACAAGTGGTTTATTAATAGAGCATCCCTTAAATGAGGCCACATCTGCTCTCATACTGCAGAAAGGCCTGTCTGCCTTTCATAACAAAATATTAATGAACTAGAGCTTTGCAATCATTTGTTGGTGCCTCTGAGCCTTCCATTCTCTTGACAAAACAAACACCCCAAGAAGGGAGGGAGGAGAAAGACCTGGTTTCGGTCTCACCTCTTGTAGGTGATCTTAGGAAAGGCCTTTTGTTCTCTTTGGCGTTTCCTCCCCGTCTCGGAGCGCTCCGGCACCGCGTGCCGCTGGCCTGCAAACAGAGCCGGGATCTGGGGCTGGAGCCGTGCCTGCTCTGAGGGCTGGGGTGCTCACTGCTAGGACACGGGGCTGTCCTTCAGGGAGCTGTACCCGCAGGACGAGGCACAGCCCGCCAGGCTCGAGACATGCACTGCACACAGCAGCAGGGAATGCAGGAAGCAACAAGCATTTAGTGGCTTTTCTCTCATTCAAGCTTAAGTTACACAATTTTTTGAGTGGATAAGATGTAGCTTTAGGGATGGGTAACTTCATACTCAGGAGGACTCCTTTCCCCAGCTCCCCTTCCCACCAGGGCACCTCCAGCCCGGCCTGACCCTCACCTCTGCTGGGAAACCACAAGAACAAGCTGCTTGCCTGGGGCAGTGACCTTGAGCTTGAGCTGTGGTGTCACCCACCCTCCACCAAAGGGACCATCCTCCCATTCCCAGTCTGAGCTCTGGAGCAGAAGCTGCAGCACAGGAGCTGTTTGTATCCTCACGGCAGGGATGGGGATAAAGAGCGAGGCCCTGGGGAACCCCTCTTTCCCTTTCTGCATCATTAACATTTGCAGGTAACAGCCTGAGCACCGTATCAGGGGGACACATCATTGTCTCCACAACAGCAAAAGCAGGGGGCTGGCTGCCAGACAGAGCAGATTTCAACAACTGCCAAAATCTCTCATTTTCCCAGGGAATGCTTTACCTCTCTCTAAGCAGGGCCCTGTTCTCTGCCAGCTGGGATCTGTGTCCTGCCCCGACGGCAGGGACAGCCAGCTGCCTCCAAGCCATGCCGCTGCGTATCACCCACTTGCTCCAGGGTCAAGGTGTCTGGGAAGCTCTCGGGATTCAAGCAGTCAATAAGGTAATGGTCATTCATCTTTTATTTTCTGCCTTCCACCATGATAATGTGGTACCCGAACTTTGTTTTGACAGGAGGGTCTGTATACACGGGCTTGTCCATACTGCTCACAGGCAAGGCGAATGCTGCATCCTGGAAAGGTCCCACCATGGAGCCTCTGGTCATCCAGCCCAGGTCTCCCTGGAAAAAGGAACCATCAGGGTTAAATTTTGAGAATCTCCCTGCACCAGTGTTTGCCCACCCCTCCGGGAACGCTGTGGGTGCTGTGCTGGAAGCCACTGAAACAAGCTTTTTGAAGGCACCTAGGACGGACTCCCCAGCAGCAGTCTCCATCAGCTGTGGTGGCCAGCAGCAGACCAGGTTCCCCTGAAAGCCACTGTCCCCCGCCTGCCCACGCTCCCCTCCCCTAAGGACACAGCACCTACCCCTTGCCGGGCCTTGTCCTCGCTGTACTGTGAGGCAACCTCACTGAACCGCAGCCCGGACTTCAGCTTCTCCATGGCCTCCATGGCTTTGCTGTGCTTCTCACACAGGATGTGCCGGACCTGGGAGGGGGCAGCAGAGCAGGGTCGTGGCTGTGGCGGGCCGGGGGAGGAGCGGGGAGACGCCCCTGCCATCCGCTGGGGACCCTGCCCGGCCCTGCTGTGCCCGAAGGACCCTGCCCAGACCTCGCCGCCCCCGGGGGTCCCTGCCGGGACTCCGCTGTCCCCTGCCCGGCCCCATCGCCCCCCCCGGGGTCCCTGCCCGGCCCCCGCCGCCCCCCGGGCTCAC